TGAACAAAAGTATGAATATCTTTCACAAAAAATTTAAAATAAAATAAATAAATCTAAGGATGGACACCATTCATGGTGTCTGTTTTTGGACAATTTCAGCTGTGGGCTAAATTAACTACTCATGACAAACACACCTGTGAATATAACACCACAATGATAACCCAAAACTTTATCATGATGCCATATGCATGCCAAAAGGTGTACACAATCTAAGACTACCGCTGTATCAACCACAAACACAACATAAACCAACTTACTATACCCATAAGCACCCAGAACAAAAGCTTATTGTCAATTATTAAAAGAGCAATTTACCCATTTCAATTTACTAACCCATCCGGCGCCATTTTTCTGGGTGCTTACTATACCCATAAGCACCCAGAACAAAAGCTTATTGTCAATTATTAAAAGAGAAATTTACCTATTTCAAGGAAGTGTGATGGAACATGAAAATGACTATAGTGACTGAACAAGTTTTGTGTGACAGTGTGAAGAGGAAATGAACAACAGACCAGCAGATCCCAACTGGGTAATTAAACATAAAAATAGCTGGAGTCTGAATTCTTTTGTCTGATTATTTCTCCAACGCAAGCAAACTTGTGTAATATGTAAACTAAAATGGTACACAAATACATTTCAGTTGAAGTGGACAGCAAAAATGCTTACATTGAAACACAAATGCTGGTCATATAATGTGCCTGTATTGTTTGCAACCAGCTTTTGAAGCTAAAGTTTAATAAATCAGACAGTGCCTCCTAACAATTTGGTTGTCATACTAGTTTCAGATCTGTCACCACTTCTAGAATCCTACTTGTATGCAAATACCAATGTGCATAAGACACTTTCATGAAGGATACAGCAGTTGAGCAGATATTAACTATCTGTTAGATTAAATATAACTTTTGATATAGCGTGACTTAACGGTGCATGTCCTGACCAGTATGTTGTGAGATACCTGGTGATACTCGGAGAGAATGTTATGCATATCAGCTACTTCTTCACTGGATATCTGCTTTACTATCAGTGTACGGTCATAGGACGTGAAGAGAAGACCTTCCCCCTGTCCATCGCCTCTCATGGGAGCACTGCGGGCCAGGGACACCTGATGGAAACCATCCATGCACACAAGCACAAAAATTCAGACCAATTTAGCAGTTTGACAAGTGACAACAACTGCTCACATGTATTTGAGAACTTTGAATGTTTGATGTCCAAATAGAAGCCGATTCCTCAATTAATGCAATGCACAAAAAGTTTAGGTTTTTTATTTTTTTTTAAATAAAGGTAAAAAGGTCACCTGGTAGTCAAGATCTTCAATTCCGAATCGCTCCCTGAGATTCCTGAAGACTTGCGGACAGTACTCCTTAAATTTAAAATGGCCTGGAAGATTCTCCCTGCAAGGCAGAGAATGATCATTTCATATTAAAACTTAAAAAAAAAAAAGTTCTCATTCACCTGAAGATGGAACGGCTGTTCTGCAGAAAAAGCTGGCATTTACACTCTTTCACTGTCATCACAAGAATTCATTTAAATGAATGTAAACGTTCCTGCTTCTAAGAACAAGTTCACATGCAGCTGTAGACACAGCGAACACAGTGCAATGAAAATCTGTGTAAAATAATGATGTGCTTTTGATAAATACTTGTTGAAGAGATGGTTGTTCACTTTAATTTTGGTGTTGGCCTTGAAGTCGTCAGGGAGCAGCATGACAGGCACTGGAACTTGATTCAAATCATTTATCTGGAAAAACAGTTTAGGAAAAACAACTTTTTGCAACTGAAATGAACTTTGCACTCGCAGATTTTCCATATCCTAACGCTGCATGACTCAATGCTTATATACGGCTTCTTCTAACACGTCATTGCATGAAGATTTCCCAGGCTTGCAATTATGCAACAACCAGAGACGGGCACAAATACATCAAAAAGTATTTTGCTACAAATTACAAATACGTGTTCATCAAATGCATTTAATTTATAATACAAAATAATACTGGTGTGAGAAATGTATTTAAAATACAAGTCATTTGTAATTTGAAAATACAAACAATATTTAGAAGCAATCATTTGAAGTGCAAGAGATACATTTAGTAATACTGGAGATAAAGGGTTAGTTCACCCAAAAATGAAAATTCTGTCATTAATTAATCACCCTTGTGTTGTTCGAAACCCGTAAGACCTTCGTTCATCTTCAGAACACAATTTAAGATATTTTTGATGAAATCTGAGGGCTCTCTGACCAAAGCTACGAAGCTATGAGAATACTTTTTTGCACAAAGAAAACAAAAATAACGACTTTATTCCACATTTTCGTCACTTTTGGACATTACGCCGGATCTGGGTCAGCACCGGCGCCACCACACGTTCGCGTCATGATACTGTCGTGAACACGCATCCACAAGTGACGCAGTAGAGACGAAAATGTGGAATAAAGTCGTTATTATTGTTTTCTCTGCGCAAAAATGCATTCTCGTAGCTTCGTAACATTACAGTTGAACCACTGATGTCACACGGACTACTTTGTCGATCATCTTGGTATTTTTCTGGACCTTGAACGTGGTAGTTACCTTGCCGTCTATGGGAGGGTCAGAGAGCCCTCAGATTTCATCAAAAATATCTTAAATTGTGTTCAGAAGATGAACGAAGGTCTTACGGGTTTCGAACAACATGAGGGTGAGTAATTAATGACAGAATTTTTATTTTTGGGTGAACTAACCCTTTAAATACACACATAAGAGAAAGAAGTGCTTCTCAAGTTGAACAACTTCTAAACATCAATTCTTTAACCCTAACACTAGACAATATAGCCAATAAACTGATCCATTTTTCTTCTCATTTCTAATGTTCACTTAAGACACAACAGACTATGTTTTCTTGAATACCATCAAGCATGCCTAAACTTTATTTTTTCATGTTTCTTTATCGTTTCTTTATCAGCGTGCCAAAAATTAAGCAGTTCTGCGAAATCGTCATACCGCCAAGCTATTTTTACTCTCAACACATTCGAGATTAACTCCTGAAAATGCTGATATTTAGCTGTTAAGCTATTTAGCTGTTAATTATATGTAGAATTCAGGAACCCTTGTTATAGCGACACCGGTGGCCATTAAGTGAGCTGTGGCCAGCAACTTATTGCTCATGCTCTTGCACACACTCCATAGTAATGCAAGCGAGTGACAGCCAAATTGGCCAATGTGATTCACCAACATCATGTCAACAGATGAGGTTCATTAAAATTGCACTGTTATGATCATTTCCCTTTCCCTGAATTTTCCCAGCAAAACTGCCCCGAGTCCTTCACATAAAAAGCTAAGTTGTAGAGCAGCACAGCTTTTCCTTCTGTCCTGTAATAACATTTAGAGAGCAATATCTGATAGAATATATTTTAGCACATACTTGGCCAGTTTGCACTGAGCACCAAAACAGCTTCTTTCATTGTTTTGTTTTGTTTTTTTTTCCAGTTGGAAGATGGAACCGCGAACGAATTGATTCGCCTGAATCTAGCCAAAAACTGTGATAGGCTTTAGCTGGATGTACTATTAGCACATTTGATTTTTTTTTTGTCCAACAAAATACAAAATACTCAAAAACGCATTTTAAATACATTTCATTAAAATACTGCCCATCTCTGGCAACAACCAAATGCTTCAAATAACATAAAATCCCTCTAAAAGCAATCACTTCCTCCAGGATCCCCAAAAAATGAACGTTTACAGGATTCCTTTAGGAATTTCAGTCATAATTAAAAACACTATGATTTAGCCATATTAGAGTCGTGAATTTTTACTAAATTGTTTTTTTTTTTTGCATGAAACATTTAAATGCAGAAAAACATTATATAGACAAGACAAAGTTAAGATATTAAAAGCATATTTCGACGAGTTACTTTCTCTACACCAGTTAGTCATATGAAATCTGACTCATTTGCCAAACGGCTCTTTCGAACAGTGTTAAAGAACCGTTCAAAGAAATGATTCAGTGATTCGTTTAACTCGTGACGTTAAGTACATAATCCGTTGGTCCGTCATTCCGGTGATGAATATTATTTAAAACGTTCAATCAGAGTTACATATATAGGTACATATGATTCAAATGTTTTATTTTCGTACGTATTACATGAGTGATTATTGTAATTTCATATGTCCCAGTTAAATTCGTTGCATAAGCAATTCAAATAATAAAAACAAAGTCATTTAGAACCTAAATACGATTTGCATGTCAATTAAACAATACTAAAAGTAAAACAATGCCCAGAATCGGGTGAACTGCTTGGCCCGATTTGAGACCAATCGTCGAGAAACTAGCGTTGTGAACCAACTCTATTTCAAAGATCCGACTCAAAAGAACGACTCGTTCGCAAATCGAACATCGCTAACAACAGACAGTTGCAAATCCGCCGCGTGCAATGAAACAATGTGTCCGGTTTGCCAAAATCCATATCAACAATATACACAAATCATGCACTTAAATAATAGATAATGCATATAAAGATCTCTATTCCCCAGCATACGTACTTGCAGCTAACTGTTAGCTCATAAAATGGCAGTTGTGTGATGTAGGAAGTTAAGTGAATCATACACCACCTTACCGAATGATTAACGCCCCACATGAACACGCTGAGCATCGGGTCGCTCGCCCGGAACACTTTCACCTTCTGCTGCACGAAATGTTTCTTTTTGGTCTTGGTTTTGGGGGCGAGCATGACCATCGGGCTGGAGGCGCTGCCGGTGTTACCGAGGGACGCCATCATCACGGTCACTCCCCTGTAACATACACAGCGGTCTCTTTTCCTCTCGGATCCGCCTCCCTCTGTTGCTGCTCCGGTTCCTCTAGCTGACAATCAAAGGTCGAAAACAACACGAGCGCTATGCTGAGGAGGCCGGTTTTCCGCTGTGTTTGCAGGCCCAGATGGACCGATTCTTCATGGAAGTGAACAACACTAGGTTGCTGAAGTGTAGCGGCGATACAGATGCTCCTCCCACAGGTTCAGAGGAACAGAGCTTGATATATTGTAACCGCAAGAATGTGTCAGACTCTCACCTGAGTGTAGGCCACGTAGTTTGCGGACGTACAGGTGAGATGAGACCCTGAAACAATATCGAAGCTAACCCAACCATAACTATTAAACTTCGTCTGAATCGTTCCTGCGGTTGACATGTCCGAACGAACCGTTGTTTTGAGGTGGATCTTTTCAATGAATCGGTTGAAGCGGTTCAAAAAACAAACAAAAAAAAAAACGGTCAGTTTTCGAATCGGACTGAATCGGTCCGAGCGGTTCTCGAATCAGCGATTCGAGCGGAAACATGCCAAACAAAATGAGCCGAATCGAGAATTTGATGTCGTTTTCAAGAAATAGAAAGACGTAGAAATCAAGAAAAGCATAGTTTTATCAACATGAATACGAAACATGCTGTATTTAGCCTAAAAGGCTAATAAAATGTGCGAAAAATGTTCAGCCAGAAGAGAATTAGTATTGTTTCATGTAAATTCGAATTATATTTAGATTCTAAATGGCTTGCAATAGGATTTAGCCTATTTGAGCCGAATCACGGCTGCGACAACCTGAGCTGGGATGCATAAAATTACAATAAACAATAATAATTCATCTTAATCGAAAGGGAAAAAACGCATAGTGCTACATGGGTTTACTGAGACATTTTAGAGGGTATTCTACAGTCTTTAATGTAGCACGCCATCACGCCAGTGGCTACGTAAACTACACGAAAGAATCATCTGGTTCTTTGAAAAGAATCGTTCGAAAGAACCGATTCGCGAAATTGAATCTGACTTCCCGTCACAAGAAATACCTCAACTAGTGGGGCGATTTAGCTTGACTGAAGTAAGAACTCAGCCGTAGTAGAGATCAGAATATCAGTAGACTTTTGGAGTGGAGTTGTTTGACGTTTGGGCCAGTGAGCAACCACCTGCCTGCATAACAATGCGCGAAATGAGAGAAATCACATAGCAGCACTCTGGCAACCACCCAAGCCATGCTAGCATTGTGAACTTTTACACAGGTAAACACAACGCACATTTTCCTAAAATCTGTCGAAATGAGCTATAATTAGTCTACTTATCATTTAACACGTAAAGTGGGTTGTCCTAGCAATAGCCGAAATGCATGGGAAGCGTTTTTGAAAATTCATTATTTTTTGCAGCTCTGTTTGCTGCCGAAAATCGTACACTTCACCATAAAAAATATGGAACTTTTTTTGTTTTTGTTTTTTGAATGATTGTATATCTAATGTCAGCAATGTATGTGGGTAAACATAGCCTACTTAAATATATTTGGTCATATCTTCCTTTGCAGATTCTATATTTTGGCTTCCATAGTTTTTGATAACTAGATTCGACACAGCGAATAATGCATTCAAAAATGTTGCTTTCGTTACAGGGCGAATAAACTCTCCAAGTGACAGTGGTACAAAGTAGGACATGATGTAAGCACAGATATATGCTATATTCTGCTATATGTTGTTACCTTGGAAACAAGCATATGGATTGTTGTGTGAGTATATATGTGCATGAATCTGTCTTGGCACTAAAGCTCCAGCAATATTTAATCTTTCCTTTATATTCATGAAAACTGGACTCTATAAATAGCATTATATGTAACTGCTTGGCTGATATAACAAAATATTCTACCCTGATAAAGCATAAAGTTATTTTTAGTAAGCAAAATCTGTTCTGGGCTCGCAAAAATGCACAGTCACCATACAGTGGGGAAAATATTTATTTGATCCCCTGCTGATTTTGTAAGTTTGCCCACTTACAAAGAAATGAAGGGTCTGTAATTATATGGTAGGTTTATTTTAACGGATAGAGAAAGAATATTAACCAAAAAATCCAGAAAAAACACATTATATAAAGGCTAGAAATTGATTTGCATTTCAGTGAGTGAAATAATTATTTGATCCCCTACCAACCAGCAAGAATTCTGGCTCCCACAGATTGGTTATGTGCCCATGTGGAACACAGATTAGTCCTGCCACTTAAAGAAGTTACTCCTAATATCAGCTCGTTAGCTGTATAAGACACCTGTCCACACAGTCTGTATCTTCCATTCCAACCTCTCCCACCACCATGGGCAAGACCAAAGAGCAGTCAAAGGATGTCAGAGACAAGATTGTAGATCTGCACAAGGCTGGAATGGGCTACAAGACCATCAGCAAGAAGCTTGGTGAGAAGGAGACAACTGTTGGTGCGATTATTCGGAAATGGAAGAAATACAAAACAACCATCAATTGGCCTCGGTCTGGAGCTCCGTGCAAGATCTTGACTCATGGGGTAAGGATGATCATAAGAAAGGTGAGGGATCAACCCAGAACTACACGGGAGGAGCTTGTTAATGATCTTAAGGCAGTCGGGACCACAGTCACCAAGCAAAACATTGGTAACACACTATGCCGGAATGGACTGAAATCCTGCAGTGCCCGCAAGGTCCCCCTGCTCAAGAAGGCACATGTACAGGCCCATTTAAAGTTTGCCAAAGAATATCTAAATGATTCAGAAAAGACTTGGGAGAAAGTGCTGTGGTCAGATGAGACCAAAATTGAGCTCTTTGGCATTAACTCGACTCGCCGTGTTTGGAGGAAGAGAAATGCTGACTATGACCCCAAGAACACCATCCCTACAGTCAAGCACGGAGGTGGAAACATTATGCTTTGGGGCTGTTTTTCTGCTAAGGGTACAGGACGACTTCACCATATTGAGGGGCAAATGGACGGAGCCATGTACTGTAAAATCTTGGACGAGAACCTCCTTCCCTCAGCCAGAACACCGAAGATAGGTCTTCCAGCATGACAATGACCCGAAACATACCGCCAAGGCAACAAAGGAGTGGCTCAAGAAGAAGCACCTTAAGGTCATGGAGTGGCCTAACCGGTCTCCAGACCTCAATAGAAAATCTGTGGAGGGAGCTGAAACTTCGAGTTGCCAAATGACAGCCAAGAAACCTTAACGATTTAGAGAGGATCTGTAAAGAGGAGTGGATCAAAATCCCTCCTGAGATGTGTGCAAACCTGGTGACCAACTACAAAAAACGTCTTACCTCTGCTTGCCAACAAGGGCTTCTGCACCAAGTACTTAGTCATGTTTTGCTTGGGGATCAAATACTTATTTCAATCACTGAAATGCAAATCAATTTCTAACCTTTATATAATGTGTTTTTTCTGGATTTTTTTTGGTATTCTGTCTCTATACATTAAAATAAATCTACCATAAAAATTATTAAATTCATTTCTTTGTAAGTGGGCAAACTTACAAAATCAGCAGGGGATCAAAAAAATATTTTCCCCACTGTAGCTCAGTATGCACAAGGCGATATTTGTATGTGACATTTGTATGAGCATATGGCTGTATCTTTGCAGCCAACAGCAGCATCTGCTCCTTCTTGTTGCCTTTGCTAATTCATCGCCTCTGGGTTTTAAATTTTTTTTTAATATGTTCAGTTGTGCATGTGCATTTGGTAGTATTCATAATTTATCATATTCAGTTTCATGCATGTGGGTTTCTTAATGAGATTCTGCAAAGAGTCAGTCTTTATATTAACATATGCATTTATTTTTTCTCTGTATCATTTTTATTTTGTCTCATAGTTCTTGCACACGTTATAATTTTTGCAATGGGTCCCTTTTCAAGGGCCCACAACTACTGGCACATATACTGATAAAACAAAATCAGTGTGAAGTACATTGATCAGACATTATTTTGTGCACTTTTTTTCTCAATGCATTTTGGGAATGAAAATACACAGAGTTCTGAACAAAATACCCAGAATACCATCTGAAATATAGAAAATTAAGCGATATAGTAACACTTTCCAATACTGAAGGATCAACATAAATAATGAAACAACTGTGACATAAAATAACAAAAATTATATAAAAAAAACAGAAACACATGTACAGCAGTAAATGCTCTTAAGGGTGTGCTTAAATTGTATTTTTGTTTTTAATCCCTTTTTATGGTGACACCAACGCATGGCGCTCACTCTCTTAGCAAATAAAATAAGCTCTGTTTTGACAATGAAAAACTGCTGACAATATAAAAATACATGGCATCGTAATTCATTAAATAGATCAACAAATTTTATATATATATATATATATATATATATATATATATATTAAATGGAAAAACAAACGATAGATAGATAGATAGATAGATAGATAGATAGATAGATAGATAGATAGATAGATAGATAGATAGATAGATAGATAGATAGATAGATAGTTCTCGAAAAAGGTAACAGCCATCAGCATTCAAGAATATTCCACCTCATGACACGACCAACCACAATAACCTCACTTATGTACAAATAATCCACGACGTGCGTTTGCGGTCAGAGTGTCATATGAACAAAAAAGGAGTACAGGAATTAAATAGCTCTCTGTAACAGCTGATCTATCCCAACTTAAGCTCATGTGGTGTAGTGGTCATTAGTGTTCTGATGCTGTTTATTCGAGTTTATGGCAGTGAACGTGGTCTGGATGTTCTGAGTGAGGGCCCATTCCCATGTCAAGTGGTTTATCCCTGGAGTGTCCTGGTCAGGCAGTGTCTTGCACCAAGCTGAAGTCATCCCCTCTCCCTGTACCCCTCCTCCTCCTCCAGGCTCAGAGCTGTGGGGCTGTCGCTTCCCTCACTCTCCATCACATGGTAAAATGCCATCCTCCCCGGCACGTGATGGAACGGTGTTGCCCATCTCGTCGACGCACCAGCAGTGGCCACGCTGCATGCCCTTAGAGGACCGACACTACAAGACAACAGGAGATTGTTCTGGCTTTGATACGTCATTCAACTGTGCACACCGTCAAAGGTTGTCATTCGCAATACAAAATGGCTCATAATGGTGACCTTCAGATATCAAAACTTCCTCCTCAGTTCATTTATGGAAACTAAGCTGGAAAAACAGCTTCTGAACTTCCACAAGGAAGTAAGGTAGATACTGTTATTTAAAAAAAAAAAAACAGAAGACCTATCAATAAGAGTAAACGGTGATAAAATGATCCTTCTAAATGATAATGTTACCAATTCTTTGGCCATGTAAAGCCTTTTTACCATGTCAGTAAAGCCACTTGAATCTTGAAAATTTAATTCCTGCATGATATTATATTAATTTAGTCAACCAGTACCTGCTTTTTCCTGTAGAAACCACGAGTGTCACAGTTCGGGATGTAGATGTCCCGATCCGACTGGAAAATGGTGAGTTCGAGACCCCGCAAGACAGTGTTGAGCAGCTTACAACAGGGAGCCTGGTGAGGAAGTGTTGAAAACAAAATGTTGGAATACCCCATACTAAGCATTTGTATTATGTATATTTCTAAGAGGCATTTTGATTGTTCTATTCTGTTCTGAGACAGATTTTTTTTTGTATATAGCGCAACCTAGAGGTACACAAATGAGTTTGGTGTAATAATATAAAATAATAATTATATTAAATTCTATAATTATTATAAAGGTTCTGCTTTAATTTAACAGCCACAAGCTGACGTCTCTTTAACATTTAATTTTAATTTAACAATTGATATAAAACATAATTAATAATAGAACATAATTAGCTCTTTTCCAGTAGATTTTTGTCTTGTTCATGCTGTTTACATTGTGAGCATTAATTATAGAAAACAAAAACCAAAGGATAGACTCACCTTTTCTATTTCACCACTATTCGAAGGATGTGGCCCTGTAAAAAATAATACAGAATTATGACTGCATTTTTGAGAAAAAGGCATTACAAACTGATTCGACTAAATGAATATGTTTAGCTGTGATTTAAGAGTTGTTGTTTGATTTGGGGTACTTAAACTGGACAAACCCACATTTTTAGGGAATAGTTCCTCAAATAATTCTCATGAATTGACAATACAGGCTCTCTTAAGTTGTAATGACCTAAAGTAAACAGTAGGTGGAGACTGCATGACTACATTTCACCTGCTACTTGAAATGACACTGTAGGAATGTGGGTGACACTGATACACACTCAAGAACACACACATTACACATTACTTTATCTCCTCTGTTGCTCCTCTCTATTCTGCTCTGAATAGTTCTGATGTCCATATGCATGGCAAAATTCATATACTGTCACACAACCACACACACACACATCTGTACTCGTATACAACCCTTGCACATTCATAAAAATTTCCATTATTACAAGTGATCTTCATCATGTGTATTTACGACATGCGAAAGCCTCAAATCACAGAAATGCCTTTACACCCTGAAGGAATTTACAGCCATCACATGCAAACCAGCAGCTATTCCCGGCACTTTATGAACATGTCCTTGGTTCAGTTAGAGTTTTGTCATCCTACCAAGCCTCTGATATGGACACTGCAGCACAGCGACTTGCCAGCACATCTGAACCTGAAATGCATCCTCGAGCTATTTCGCTGTGGTAGTTAAAGCAGATTACCCATTGCATTTTCTCACCGTATGCGGCACGGCACAACGCCGGCAAAGCTACAAGACGGAGGAAGGGCTTCCACTGCAAAGGCTTCCACTGGCTGAAACTCTTACCTGTGGGGTGGGGCCTCTTGGTGGGACTCGTTCTGCTCTGTTTGGTGCAGAAGCCTCTGCCCTGCAGCAGAGCCTGAAGGGGGCTGTGTTCACGTGGAGGGGGTACACAGCGAAGCCCCTTGGCACAGCTCAGGGTGTAAACCCCACAGGGCTCCCCCAATGCCAACACGATTGTGCTGGGCGCCCCAGCCGGGTCCCTGGAGGTCCGGCCCGCACCCAAGGGGTGCCCATCTTTGCAGGTCAGGCAGTTTTTGTTGGGGCCCAAGCGACCCGCCAAAGACCAGGATCCACAGTGGATGATCAGCAACAGGACAACGGGCGTCAAGTTGGAAAGGAAGGACATCTTGCGTCTGGGTCTCAGGTTCCCCATGCTCGGTTGTGCCGTACGTGGCTGATGCTATTTCTGGAAGTCTGTTTCTCTTTGCCCTCTCTGTTTCTTTGCTCGTTTTTCAGCTTAGTGAGGCTGAGAGCCGGGAGTCCCCTGCAATGCCAGAGGATACAAACCGAGAACGAGTGAGAAACGGCAAGCAGCGGCTTTTAAAGATTTGAAAGGCGGTGATAGAGAGCGAGAGGGAGAGAGCACAGTTATGACACCTTCAGGGGCTGGGACTGAGAGACAGAGAGAGGGAGAGAGAATGTGTAAGGGGGTGGAGAGAAAGAGAGATTATTTTTCCTTTTAGAAATCATCAAGCACTTCTCCAGCTTTCAACCCATTATTGTATCTGGAAACATTCCTTTGCCCAGGATACTTACTCTGGCTATATGATGGTTACTTTTTCTGCATCATCTGTGAAAATGTTAGAGCATTCTAGTAATCTTTGCCATGGTAACAATGAAGGCGAGGGATTCCATTTCTCTGCCGACTACGGTAATTTGCTTGTGAGAGAGTCGCACCATTAACCCTGTTGCTTCTAAGAATGCTAAAAAGATTGGCCACTTGATAGAAGTCAAGCTGTTTTATGTATCATTGTAGTATTAGTTACTTTTTGAACCTTTTCAGATGCAGAAACTACTTGTGAAACACTAGTGGTGAAGGATCTTTTCTTCTGTATCGTGACATACTTCCGAACATAACAGATTATCGAAAAAGACAAAATGTAGAGCAGGGATTTGGTTCTTGGTTTGGTTGTTGATTGGATGTTAACATGTGGGCATTGCACTAAAAAAAATGGATGCAGACGAACTTGAGCATGGGGTTTAAGCAAACGAAATGATTGTAAAAGTCTGGCATACATCACAGAAGGTCCAGTAATAATATTTTGTTACGAATTACAAAGCCAAAAAGTAAAAAAAAAAATTTAATCTGTTTTTCAACAACATGTTAAGTTGTGACACAAGAAATACAGTTTCTGGGTCCAAGCCTCTACTTGTTTCAATTGAGAGCACTCAATCTCAACAGCCGTTTATAAGCACTATTTATTCACACATTCAAACTAAAAACTTTAAAAACTAAAGGTATAAATTACAGTCACTGGGCTCATGGTGTCCTGGGCACCAATATTTTAATAATTCATAAAAGATAAACGCTGTCTGGCCATCTGAGATTTCTGTATGGAGATAAAAGTTAGCATCATGATTTTTCAGTAGTATTACAGCACATTGTGAGTGAATATTAGCACCGTTTATTGTTTGCTTTTGGGATTTGATAGAACGTTTGGACCCAGTGACACGTGACATCAGACTTAACAAGCGGATTGAATGAGCACCTGCATTGAGAACGTTGCTTTATGATGCAGCGATTCAACCAAAGGAGATTCTGCCGCTTAATAGTTTATTTTGGAGAAGGGACCGTGTGGATAATTGGGGCAGTGTTTTCACTGGAATGTACACAAGACGATATATGCCAGCAGCTAACCATCAGCCTAGTCAACCAGATAAATCTGATCTCTTTGGTGGACTTCATAAAGTTCTAGTTGTCCTTTGGCCCAGATACCATTAATCGAGAGTTCATGAGTAGTCTTTTAGTGCAGAGAAGTCTCTGAGTGCTTTTGTAGAAGACGATGAAAATACTGGTCCGTACTGGCCAAGGGGTTTATGCCAAGATTTATACCATCAGGATGCACCAAGCAGATGTATCTGATGGGGTCTCTTACATGCAAAAGCCTGCTTTCTGGTCACACCCAGCTGAAAGGGTTCAATAAGGACAGAGTGGTGTTTATTTGTTGTTGTCGTGAAGCAGGATGGAAGTTAAGATGTCAAAGATGAGTGCAGAAGGCAAACAGGATTTAGATGATTATCTTACGATATTGACATGTGTGGTCATAGTTCTTTTTAACACAAACACGTTTGCCTTCTGAGTGTCTGTCTATGCTGCAGAATAGTTCTGTTTATCGGTTACGAATACCATTGAACAATCCCGATTTGATAGGCCTACTATAGTTATTTAACTTCTCGAAAGCACAAAAGGTTGGAGTGTTCCTTGTTTGGGGAGATGTCGGCTGGCTGATGTTCTCTTATTAGAGCTGATTAGTCTTGGCAAAGAATGCAAAAAAATCACCTGCTGTCTGACATTCCCATCCGTGGCACAGCACGACCCCGTTCTCTGTTTCCACATGTTCTGGCTGGAGAATGTTCCAAGAAGCGTGCCAAACTGATGGGGTCTCTCTGCTTCCAGATTCACCAGATTACACGATTTTCCTCCTCATGTCTGTCTACAAGTCAGCCCTTGTGTTTCTTTTTAAACCTCACTGCTTCCATTTGTCAGCAGTTTCTCAGTGTAACTTATACCAAAATTAAGATGCATGCATCATCCTGTCTTTCAGATGTCATGCTCGCTTGCAGTATAGTACATTCCACTCCTGCAGTCACTATGAGTAACCATTATAAGGGGCCCTTAGATTGTGCCAAATGTTCTGTAACCCACTTTTCAGTTGTGTGAGCCTGAGGTAATAGAGTGCCAGACCGTTTTAATAGTCTGAAAATACGTCCTCACATTGAATGAAAAATAGAAGTAGTTGTGTCAACACTTGTGTGTTAATAATGATATTTGTGTCACTTCATGACATGACTCTCTGGAATACTTGATTCTGATTGGCCATTCTTGGCATTCACTAGTCAGATATTTCACAATAATAACCATTGACCAGAGAAACTATGTATAACTGACCACACATCCAGGATGGATGTCTCTCTTTGGTCTTTACAAGTAAAATAATCACCAGTCAATAATTAGCTGTGAGTTAATTTACAGTGTGTTTTTGATTTATCAAATGTGACTGTGGCAATATCCAAGCGATAATATTCAGTCAGCTGGCCATTATTGCAGAATAAACCCTAATTACCCTATTGGGTTTATTTTTGCGATAATGACTGAATATTGTCCCTTAAATATAGCCACAATCGTATTTAAAAAAAAAAATCGAACAAGATTCGACGATGATAATGCAATACATTTATTTTTTGATCTATAAAATAGGACCAAACTTGCCTATATTTTTACATTTCTCAATGTATTCCTCAATGTTCTCATTTTCAGAAGGTTTTGAAAAATTATTTATATACTTTATGCTTTATTCATGCTTATACAATTATATGCAAAGGCGGACAGTAACTAAGTACATTTACTTGAGTATTGTACTTAAGTACACTTTTTGAGTATCTGTACTTTACTTGAGTATTATTTTTTCTTGGAACTTATGACTTTAACTTCACTACATTTGAAAGACAACTACTGTACTTTTCACTCCACTACATTTCTATCAGGGTTCTCAAAGTAGAAAGTCGTTATTATGTAGCTGCTTTGAAAGTCAGTGGGTGATTTTTATTTTTTTTTCTCTAAAACGTGACTTTCTTTTCAGACAGTTTATCAGTAATTACTCTTGTGGGGCTACTTGAAGAGATTTCCCAGCATTTTTTGTACATTGACCAGTTGCAAACAGTTCAATAATAAGTAGTTAATATTGTGGTATACGTTACACACAATATTGTCTGATTTTGCTAAATTGTGTACGTGAAAATATTACCTATAAAGCCACAGAAGAACTGTTGTGCATCTCCTAATAAAACACAATAGGTGTTGGACTTGAAGCAGAACTGCACAGACCGTTCTGTGTGTGACATCAAAGTACAGCGAGAGCGATTAAACAGCATTTTTAAAATGTTTGTTTTGATGTCAAATAAGCCTTGCTGTTTTGCTTTTTTGTTAAAGCAGCGTTGCTGTTGTAAAGTTATACAGCTACAGTTGTGTTGCTGGGTTTTGTAGCAGGTTTGATTTTTTTATCTTCCTTAGTCTGTATTTACAGGATTTCACTGTACTGTATTCAGCAGGTGTA